AATTCGTGAGAAAAACTTTATTCAGTTCCCATGGGTTTTACCTTTTGTCAACGCTTATAATTAAGTAGTTACTATTACACCTACCAATCACGAATAGATCATTACAAGTCGACAAGTCATAGAAAATTTTCCATAGGCGTGTTCACGAATCGGCTAATTAGATGCGATCACCCGGTCTCTCAGTTGAATTTTTTTAAATGTCATTCAAAAAATTATGAGTTTCATGACAATCCATCCATCATCCATTCGTGTATAATAAGTGCTACTTACTAAACGCCATTAAAATCGGTGTTAATATATGTACTATTTATATCCACACTTATTACAAATGTTAGTTTTTAATTTCCTCTTGATGAATACAGAAAAATTAATAGGAAATAAAAACGTATAAGTCACGGGAAAACCGTGTTGTCAAATACGAATTTTGATTTTTACTCAAACGTAAAATATTTTTTATTTAAATCGATATGATTTACAGGATTTTTATTCAATAACAAATATCGTTATTGGATAAAAATCCCGATCGACGAAAAATACGTAATTCTTTCTGTTTTTACTTTTTCCTTTTTTTCCGTTATGTACCATTTCAGTTATATATTTTGCTATAATTATGTACGTTATATAAGTGTACAAAGTTTACATATACTAAAATTATTTCCCAAAATTTCCATAAAATTTGCCATATTTCTCCAAGCCCATTTCTCTTTTCACTAACGCTGCAGGGAAATGAAAACATGAAATTTCGTAAAATAACTGGATATACCAATGTATGGTATCTATAAATATTATTTTTATAATAATAGTTATTATATTATTATGCTCTCGAGATGTGGTGCTGGCGAAGGATGCTGAGAATTCCCTGGACAGCAAAGCGCACGAATACATCTATTCTGACGCAACTCCGCATAAAAGATAGGCTCTCGACAGTCTGCTATCGGAGGATTCTTGGATACTTCGGTCATGTTGCTCGACGACAGTCTGACAATCTGGTCAAACTAATGGTTGTAGGCAAAATAAAGGGAAAAAGACCACGCGGACGATCGCCTAATCGATGGTCGGACCAAGTAACCGCCGTTACGGGACTGTCAATTGCAGCTGCCCTGCGAGAAGCTGAAGACCGTGCAAAATGGAATAACATCATAAGAGAGATAACAGACACCTTTCAAGGACACGACCTTCAGTAATGAAGAGGACGAAGAGAGAGAGATATTAAATAGTTGATGATTAAATCAGAGTATGCGTAGTTTGATTCTAAACTCAGAGATTTGAACTGTCCTGAGTAGGATCCTAAATGCTAAGTAGACCTAACATTAAAATAGTTTCATGTTTATACTAAACGTACAATACTTATACCCATTTTTTGTAACTTGACGAGCCCAGTTTTAATGGAGTTTAGACCTAAAGCTGTGTGAATGGCTCAAGATACTCCAACCTCAATTTTCACGAGGTATTTGGATAAATCATCGAAAACACTTCGGCAATTGGATTTCTGTAATAGATATTAACTATTTTACGATCTACAGATTACACAAACAACTACGTACTATTTTTTGTTGAATAAACAAACTATTATATTCTATTTACCTACTGAATTCTTCCTCCTCCTACGTTGGGCTCGATACAATTTTATCGTCACAATATTATGGAAAACAAAATGTATGCAATTATGTTTCCACATTCCTAGTTGATGGAATTACGTCACCAAATGTAGTAGGGAGTTCGAATATGAAGGCGGTTCAGAACGGTTCCTTATGGAGGTTTACGTGGGAGGATTTTATTAGTAGTGGTAAAAACTATAACTCTTAAATTATTCATTGTCCATAAAGAGCATAGTCATATTTAGAGAGGGAGTCGAGTAAGCCGTGCCCACCATAGAATTGTCTGATGCCCACTCCAAAATAAGGAACGGTGATTTCAGCTATACGCAAAGTCAAGTTCGAATGTAAATTTTCGCTATTTGTAAGAGGTCAGGCCCTTCTTGAAGATAACTTGATATATGCCAATGAGAATGAGCACGAATAATTAAAAGCATCTTTATAAAATTACATACATTTTGTTTCTCTATTATATCATGACGATAAAACAATGTAAAAATACCCAATACTTAAAACTTAAACTACGATAAAAGCACATACATGCATGAAAAGGGGATATAAATACTTACAACGAGTACCCAGCAGACATAAACAACGTTATCTATAATACGAGAGTAACTCTTTATTGAACATAATTGGTATAACTTTTCCAAGCTGTTTGTCGCATGATGTAATATAATGTCAGCCATGACCAGCGCCGCCTCTTCGATGCGTAGTTGACCCCAATCGCCCCCAATCGAAGGACTAAATTGTTTGTCACATTGTTATACATAATATGATATATACTCAACGAAGAAAAATAAAGTACGGCATTATTATTACTTAATTTCATAAATTGTCTTCTGGGATTATAGTTTTACATAAGTGCTCGACTGGATATTACGAATGTTTTCGTAATAGTTAAGTGATATCTCTGGCATCGCTCGAGTAAAATTTTAAAACTCTGACATATCCAATAAGATTACCAACCCATCTGTCTAATTTTATCTAAATTAGACTAGTAGTTTAACAGGGAAAATATAATAAACAGTCAGACTCCCTTTTATATTTATTTTAATAGTTGGTTACTGGAAATGGATATGACGGAATGTTTTGTTTAAATAGATGATATGGAGGTCCAATATCGAGGAGGACATGAAAGTACAGAACTTAGCCACTATGATAACCCAGGACAGAGTTGACTAAAAAAACCCAAACCCAAAAAGTGCTGGGATTAAGGGTTGGAGGAAGATGATGATATGGAGGGACTGAAAAACCAATTTCTGGTACGGAACCCTATGTAGTTAAGTGCTATACCAAGTGACTAGGCGGCGGGGGCGTCGGACACAGTTGTTATTGCTAATTGACCCGACGTACGCGACATTTCGCTAAATGATCCGCCACCTTGGCTCGACACCTTCGTACATAGCCGCCGCATCAGCTCTCTCGACAACAACATGAAAATTGTTGTGTCAATTAGGACTACAGGACCAGATGACCGCATTTTAAATATATTTTAAACTAGCCTATGCTCGCGACTTTGTATGGAAGTAGAAATACCAATTAAATAAATCATTTCTAGATGGCGAATCAAAATAACACACATCAGATTTTGAGTTAGACCTTCAGAAACACAAGTGTGAACAGAAACAAATTAATGCGATGTAATTAATTTGGTTCAATAGTTTTTACGTGATGTCAGAATAAACAAACACAGACAAAAATTCTAAAAATATTGTTTTGACTTCTATTGGTATTGGCGTGAATTTACTGGGTACAGAGGAATAACACCTGAGTCCTCAGGAGTGGCAACGCATAGGGGACGTCATGGGCGAAACAGTATACTATGTTATGTCCATGGTACTGCTCATGTCTATAGGCGACTGTTACCACTTTCCATCAGGTGGGCCGTCAGCTTGTTTGCCATTCTAAGTTGTATAAAAAAAAAAAACTATTTTTTTAAACCTTTATACACATATAATATTTTTTTTAAATATATTCTATGCACAAATATCGCATCGTCTAATTTTACAACTATCGTCTATTTAGACAATTTTATTACACAGCTATTTAAATATATTAATTTCATTTACATTACATATGTAATGCAAATAAAATTAATTCACGTAAACTGTACAATGAAACGGGCAGTGTGCTTGTTTTCCACTGTCGTGGTATAAAAAAACTGTGTTATAGTAAAAGTGATGGTACTACACCAGCTGATGATGATAATATACCAGGAATTATTCCCGGGGTATGTACCTACCGCGTGGAGATCAACCTGATATTGCGCTGCTACTTAGAGTTTTTATATAACTTGGAATTCCTCATAGCCTCAATGGTCGCGTATTGCGCGGTTTCAGAGATGTTTCCTCCCACGGACACTCAGGTTGTGGAATGAGTTCCCTGCCGAGGTTTTCCCAAGAGACTACAGCATGGGGTTCTTCAAAAGAGGGGTAAAGAGCTTTCTTCAGGGTCGGCAACGAACGCGTAATACCTCTGGCATTGCAGGTGTTCATAGGCTACGGTAACCACTTACTATCAGGTGGGCCGCATGCTTGTTTGCCACCTCAGTGGTATAAAAAAAAATCCAAACATGCTAACCACTAACTTAATCGGAAGTAGTAACTAACGTCTGTACCTGTACCCACATGAACAATCATTATGGACATGAAAGAAAACACCGTAACTCTCGTGATACTTCTTATCATCATCACTATATCAGCCTTTAACTGTTCACTACTGAATATACCTCCCCCTTGGGGGGTTTTGCCAGTAGTTGCCACGCTTGGCAGGCGGATTGGCAACTGCGGTTAGACTTTAGAGATTTTTTAAGAGAGACGCTGCTGCCCATTCCTCGCCCTCCCTTAGTCGCCTCTTACGACACACATGGAAAAGGAAAGGTCTATTTTATGCCACACGGCAACGTTACTCCATTTACGTTGCTATTCCTGACAATTCAATAACACATGCATATACTACAACTTAATCATGAAGAGTAGACGAAGTAACAAATTACTCTTATAATAATAGCATTATGTGCCTATAAGTGCATTTAACAAGTAAATTAAATTAATCATTTGGCAGTAGCCGAGTGGGGTTTTTAACCAACCAGGGTGGCGCGGTGGCGAAGCAATGTCGCCATTTTATCGCATAAATAACCAGTACTACGATTTTTAAAGCCATTTATTCGAATAGATGATAATTAAAAACATCATAGTTTATTTATTTTCCTTCCGTGATTGTGTACACGCGTACAGCCATAAACTCTAAAGATAAATTTTTTCCTGATTTTGATCTTTAAGTAATTAATATACACAATTAATTACTTAATTAATTCTCAAGATACAAAAAAGGATATTGGTAGATTCCGCAAAACATAAGATTACGCTTTAGAACGTAAAGTTCGAAATAATAAATAAAGGCTTTAAAGTCTTAATTATTTAATTTAAATAATATTATACATATATTCTTAGAAAGTACTCATGCTAAATAATGTAGAGTAGGTTCGTCCGTCTCATATATCTCTTGTAACGTCTCCAATACTAGAGACTGTATAAAATCTACCTGAAAATAATCAAAATGCAAATGAAACCGGTTCCGTAATCAAATGGTCTATATCTAATTACCCATTTTAGTGGTATAAAGATGCCACTGGCATTTATACCATAAAGCAGCTGTGCATAGCTGTATCGGTTTGGAGGGTGGGATATAGCAGTGAAATTGATGGGTACAGAGGAAAAACATCTCAGTCCTCAGTGTATTCGGTGATAGTCATGATACCATTCATGTCTACAGGTAACGGTTACTACTTTTCGATGTGTAGGACATCAACTTGTTTGCCATTTTACAACAAAAAAATAATAAATTATAGACGGCGATTTCGTCCTTATCCCTTCAATAAGCAATTAAAATACAGCGCTTCAAGTATGTTATCCCACTTGTGAAGTACGAGACTCATACACACATTCGTATTATGTTAATTATATAACTCGAAAGTATTTATCGTCTGGTTTTATTTTATTTCTACATTCTATAGTGGCAATGAACTGGTCATAAAACTCAAAAAACCGACAACCGATGGGGAAAAAGGTTCTCGAGTGGCGTCTCTGCAGGCAAGCGTAACCTGCCATAAGATAGAATGGTGACCTCAAAAGTATTGCAGGGACTTCTATGTGCAAATGATAGTTCTTTGTAGTGAAATATGTGGAAAACCTATGTACAACGATATTTTTTATTTATTTATTATTTTTATTTTTTATTTTAGGTAGATAGATATAGATAGACTATACAATTGTTGTATGTAAGCTACATATATGAAAACACACAGTTATGAAGGAAAGGGATTGTTAGTAAACCAAGTCCGGCGACCCCAGAGCGAACAGTGTACATAAGTACAAAGAGGGCAATTTCTACGCGATTCTTGTGGAAACAATCGTAGTTTTTTTTTTAATGGGTGATAATAGAATGGTAAACCCGCCCGCGCTATCGGTATACACTGGCGGGGCACCAGTGGGGGACGATAGCCAGTTAGCCCATCGTGACGAATTCCACTAAAATTAGTGAAGGTCGACCTGATTGGGTGTATTGCTAGCAATGGGTCAGTAAGACCCCATCACTAACAATCCCTTTCTCCAAACAATCGTAATTAATTCCTGATGAATTCATCACGACCAGCCAATCGATCTTATTTTAATCTTCCTTAAAGTCCTTTACTAGTACCTCGCTAGCGTAAATAAAAGCCAAGTTCAGTAATTTATTTACCTGATGAGATGGACAGTAACCGTCATCAGTAGATCTAGCGACAGTGATCAGAACTGGTGGCGGAAGCTTTTGCAATAAAAGAGTCAGGGATTTTTTAACTGTGTTTTGTATTTCTTTTCGCGTGCTAATATGATACGGAAGCCCGCCCTGGTCCCTGGTACAGCCAGCTGCGAAGACTGCCCACCAGTCAGGCTTCTCATTAAGACGCTCCGCTTCCTTAGATACTGCTGCAACTAACTCTGATACCTGTACAATACAAATTTGTCTAAATACTTGTTTATAGTTATTCTGAAGAATATGAAGTGTCATCATAAATTAAATAGTAAAGATATAATCGGTAATGTTATATACTAAAAATAACAGAGTCTGAAATGACTGAATCGATTTTAATAGCAAGTATAGTATTGGTATCTTGGATAATAATAAAAGATTGGGTCTCACTAAAAAACCGACTTAATTTGTGACAAAACCAATTATTTTAATTTAAAAATTTAACTACTAAACGGATTTTGATAAACTTTCTATGGAATCAATCTGTAAATATATCCTTTCTGATCAAAAAAGAACTTTCCAAATCGGTTTAGACCTGATGGAGTTATGAGGTAATAAACATAAAAAATACAGCCGAATTGAGAACCGCCTTCGTTTTGAAGTCGGTTGTAAAGATATTTTATAAAATCCCTTATGTAAAGCCGTGGATTTTCACCCCTTTGTATATAAAGTAGTAAATTTTCAATAACAGTTTATTCTTAAATTGTGAAGACTAAATATATTAATAAAAAAAATGTAGAGTAAAATGTTACCATGTCGTAAGTATAGGATTTTTGTCCTGAATAATTTTGTAGATTACCATATTCTTCTAAATGTTGAAATATATTTTCGAGTTCTTGTAGTTGCAATTCTCTTGACTCGATAACTTTTTCCACTGTAATAATGTCATCGTTTTCAGGAAGCTTAAAGGTAAATATGGGTTCCAAACGATCATATAATCCTATATTTTCATACAAGGATAAGAAAGGATTTCCTGTGCTGAAAAAATCCAAGTCTATATCAAGTACGTAGGGTTGACAAATTTTCATGTCCTCAATTAATTTATAAAATTCATGTTGATTTTTGTTTAATTTAGAATTAGAAAATTCCGCTACGGTCAACCTAAACTTTCTCTCGTTATATAATTCTGTGGAGTACAATGCGTCTGAGAGGTAATACGGTTCCTTGCTGTCTACACGGAGCAACCCCGTGCGTGGATGATCGCCAACTCGTATAATACGAGTGCCATCTGTAAATTGTGTGGCCCAAGGTGGACGAAGCCACACCACGTGACCAATGTGACCAGCCGCCGCAGCTGGCACTATCCAGTTTTCTATTTGTAACAAGGGCAAAAGTTTCTTTCCAGAGCGTGCCTCTTCACCCTTCAATTTTCTATCAATAAGCATGTCAGGATGAGCGTCTAAATGCAATAAAGTCGTACCTTCTACAGGTAGCTTTTTCCCACCAATAGCTGAATATATAAATTGCAAAACGTCATTGTGCTCCTCAACAACGTAAATGGGAATCTTTTTGAAACGTTTCATTGGCTGAAAGGAACTTTCTCCTGAGATTTCGGCCATTATGACGAAAGTTCAGCTCATTGTTGTTGCAAATTTTAACATGTTCAAAGGTAAACAGGAACGGAATTCTGAAAAGAAAATATTATAGTTATAAACCTGCGTACATTTTTAAATTCATTACAGTGCAAAATTTCAGAGGTTGCAGATATAAAACTATAGTTGTAAAGTATGTAGGTACCGAGTAAACTAGATTAATGGAAAATTATCGTCTTTCCGAACATCATATCCTTGACTAAGACAACAGTGTCGCTTTACGTATTTAGTCTATCCGAGGGCTCTTTAAATATGGGTCAAGGTTTTTTGTCGGAAAAACCAGAGGGAAGTTCCACCCCGCCCGTTACTCGCGGCAACTGCGCACTTGTTAGAGCCTATTTGTTGACTTTGTTCTACAATTTGTAACGTCGCAAGGACAGTGATAGATAGAGTACACATAAACAAACCGATCCCTCCAATATTGTATGCAATATCTACACCAAACAAACAGTCATAAATTTTAATTTATTATAAGGTCAGAGTCTTTTACGCGATGATGCAGCATGAGAAAGGTACATGTATATATAATAATATATATAAGATTTTAATGTAATAACTACCGGTCTAACTTATGTGTATTTAGATCGAGAAAGCTCGACTAGTTTCGACATCAATTCGTGACCCATAATCATGAGTGACTGTGACATGAGCGCGCTATATAATTGTAAATAATAACTAGACTTTAACTTTTTTATGGATGAAAATAAAATGTTAACCCCACCTGTGCTATTAATTTGCACTATCGAGGTACCGGTAAAGGTTCTTTAATGCGTGACAATGAAAAGGTAACCCCGCTATCGGTATACACTGGCGGGGCACCGTAAGGGACGATACGTGGGGATGAAAGCAGGTCAGTTAGCCCATCGTGATGAAATTCACAAGAATGATACCCACGATGGTTTCCAAGGCGAACCGCGTGGAGGTCGACCTGATAGGGTGTATTGCTAGTAATGGAGAAATGAAACCCCATTACTAACAACCCCTTTCCCGCCACCAGTAAAGGTTGATGAAGTCAGGTCAGTTGGCTCATCATTTCGTATTCATCTGAAATTAACCACAATTATTTCCAGGGTGAAATGCATTGAGGTCGACCTGAGAGCGTATTTCGCTAGTAATAGAGCCGTTAGGCTCTATTTTAGTTTAGTACCCTCTCCTGAGAAAGGCACCCTTACAAATGTTATAAATGTGAAAGTATGTTTGTTTTTTTGTTACCTTATAGCGCCTTAACGGCCAAATTAATCAGTAGGGAAAGGGATTGTTAGTAATGCGAACTATCAGTCCCATTGCTAGCGATATACCCTATCAGGTCGATTTCCACGTGGTTCCCCCTGGTACCCATTGTGCTGGTGTATTACCCAGGTGTATTCATCACGATGGGCTAACTGACCTGCCTTTCATCCTCACCTATCACTCCTCACTGGTGCCTCACCAGCGTATAACATTAGCGCAGGCGGGGTTACCACTCCATTATCATCCATTGAAAAAAAAACTAATCATTATGAAATTTTAGTATCCACGATGTATACGGGGCGGAGAAGGATATAAGCTACTTTTAATCCCGATCATTGAATATATCCCGGACACGCGGACGTAGTCGCAGGTAAAAGCTAGTATAGAATAATAAAAAGATTTTCATTGTGCCGTGTTTAAAAATAGTCCTAATAGTGAAATATTTGAAGGGATACAAGAATGTCAAGGTGTCGAAAAAGTAATCCTGCACAGAACGTGGCGTGGGTGGTCGTGGGTCTCATCAGAACGGTCCTAAATGTTTCCCATTAGCGTCGGCAAACTTCCGGGCGGCGTGATGCGTAGATGCGCGCGGCCGCTGCGGCTCAAAGGCGAGAGGGGTGGGAGGACGGTTGCGGGCGCAGGGTGTTGTGACGGCTGCCGGGGTCGATAATGCGCGTCACTGACGTCACTACGCTACTACACCCGCCCAAACATGGCCCCCCGCGCCTCACCCTCGTGACCTATTGCGCCGTTACGCCCACCTGGGTCAAGGTGCGGAAGCCGCGCTGGACCCGCCCGGATGTTGGCGAAGCTGATCTCTTGTCGCATCAATGTCCCTTGAAATGACACAAAATCTATCGCCATGTTTATATTACGTAACAAACCTACGGGTCTGGTCAAACACCAAGTGTTTTTTTTTTTCATACTAAGTACATTTGTCTCAACTTCTGATACCAAAGACTTCTGATTGACCTATCATTCAGTTTAAAGATTAAGATGGCAGTGAAATAAGAGGGTACGAAGATATAACATCTTAGTCCTCAGCAATGGAAACGCATGAGTACTACCACGGACTTCAGTGTATTCCGTGCTGTTCACGTCTACGGCGTCGGTGAATGCTTTCCATTTTTTTTAATAGGTGATAATGGAATGGTAACCCCGCCTACGCTATCGGGATACACTGGCGGAGCAGTGAAGGGTGATAGATGAGGACGAAAAGGCAGGTCAGTTAGCCCATCATGATGAATTCATCAGGAATTAACCATGATAGTTTCCAGGGAGAACCGCGAGGAGGTCAATCTGGTTGGGTATATTGCTAGCAATGGGATTCTCAGTCTCCATTACTAACAATCCCTTTCCCCCCACTGACCGTTCCATAAGGTGGACCATCAACTTATTTGCTATTTAATGGTGCTTAAAATCCACTATAAATATAGTGGATTATGTATAAAAATTTATACAGCTAGAACTGTCGCTTATGGGCATAAACAGATATCAATATCTGTTTATGCCCATAAGCAGATATTGATATCTTTCCATTACAAATACAGTGATAGAATACAGTGTGATGCCCGTGATACCCTCCATGCGTTGCCGTTCCGGAGTAATCCTGAGGAATAGGGAGTTATTCGTTCGTAACCTGTTGTTTTACTGCCATATATAAATATATCAATATATTTCGCAATGTTTTAAAATGTGTTTTCTCATTACCTACATTTATATATATAGTATATTTAGATTATTTAATATAGAATAGGAGTCTGTAATGATAAGAGTCGCCTCCGGAACTGGTGTGTATGAAGGAAATTATGAAAATGGACGAAACAAGAAATGATCTAAAGGTGAGTAACTAAAAGATTTTTTTGGCACTCTCTTCTTTCTGCCTACTCTTAAAGTTATTTAGCATAAAAATAAATAGAAACGGTTACTTCCAAAAAGTCTGTGTCTAAAAATATCCTTCTTATATAGGTATAATATTGAACCTTCCTAAATACAGCGATAGTATTAATAAAACTGTCATAGATAAAGAATAGTATCCCTCATTCTATGAATGTTGTACACCTTTCCTTTTCCCAAGGAAATAAGTCGGTTTACAAAAAATGATCCTTAATACAAAATCGTTGTGACAGAATGTTCAATAATACTTTTCCATATTTAAACGTAGAAAGTTTCAGTTTCATGAATACTATTATTAATGCAGATATTATATATTATACATTTTCTGTTATAACCTATTTCCGTCATCATTAGCTACTATTTTCGTTGTTTGTATTTTATTTTGAAAGTTTTAAAGAATATACTGATTTTTATAATAGCCCATACACTCAGAGGATTTATTTGTTATTGATTATACTTTATTATTTTATAAATAGCAATTTCAGTCATGACAAAATTAGTACATGAAAGTAATATCCTACAGATTATAAAAATAATTCTCAATATCACGGAAGATAAACACAATAAAATACGGTAGAAAAGAAAACTAGCTCTTTTTTGAAGTAGCTTAATAGTTCTGTTAATCTTCATAAAAGTTGGCATACATATAGTATTTGTAATGGAAAATTATATTATGATCTACTTTTTATTCATTATTTTATTTATTTATTACAGTCACAAGGACGAACAGGCAAATCTTTTATTAAATATTTTTTCTATAATCACTGATATTATATGTAACTTTGTTATTACATTTCATACATACAATAAAAACGTAATACAACACAAGTTCCGTTAAAAGAATGATTTTCGCCTTTGGTGTTGTGGTTGATCATGGGTGGTGGTAGTATTTTACCATCAGGTGATCCGCAAGCTCGTTTGCTCCGTGTCATAAAAAAAAAACGGAAACGGAATTATTATCCAATTTATGCTATTCGTTTACGATAGCGTGGTACTGAGGTTGGTAAGTGAAAATACACTATGAGCAATGGAGCCTTGTGACCTCACTACCAACAATTCCTTGTTTTTATGAGATGAAAATGGGATGGTAACCCCATCAGAAATATCAGTATATGATGGCAGGATACCAGTGAGTGATAATAGATGAAAATAAAATCAGGTCAATTAACCTAGTACAACAAAGTCACCAAGAGTTAACAGTGATGATTTCAATCATGATCAGACAAGAGTATATTGTAAGCAATAAGGACTATAGTCTGAAAATTTAAACTTTATTGGATAAAAATTATTTGAAAAATTTCAAAGCAAATAGGAAATAGCTGCAATGTTTTTATTAGTACATTTATATGCAACATATTTTATGATGTTATGTTTTAATTCCTAGGCAGAGCAGTTTTTAAATTACCAGAAACATTGAAAATAGTTCAATTGTTTTTAAAAATTGACAAATAATTGTGACATTACCACACTTCATTAAGAATATTCAATTAACAGTTTCTTAGAATGTCTTTATGCATAGTTTGTCTGGGTTAATACCAATTTTTAACCTACATTTAAAGACTTGAGAAATCTATATGAAAGAACTCTAGTCACAATTACAATCATGATTCTATTGTTCAAGAATTATATCCAAGTTTGTAGTATATGAAATTTTATAAAAGAATTTCAGGTATCTATCTCTTTAATACTAAAGACAAGAAGGCCATGATAGATTTAATACAAAAATAGGATTAATTTTGTGCAAAATTGACAAATTGTATTGAATAAAATCATAATTTATTGAGATATTTGAATTCATTATCCTCCCTAATTTAATGTAATGTAAATTAGACTCTATTTACAGTGTTAAGCCTCTATAACTCTCCCTAAAGCTATGTCAAAAATTATAAGTATTTGTATAAGGAATAAAAACAGAATGATAAAAGTGGTGACAATGGTGTCTGGTTAGTTGACACATTGTGATAAATTAATTAAGAATTAATCAGCATTGTTCACTGTGTGGTCCCAGCATAGAATGTGCCCCCACACCCCGTCTTTTCCCATGGGTGGCATAAGTGACAACTAAGGAAATTTAATAATGGAACTGGAGCATGGAATGGACAGAAAGGATGGACAACAGGCTCCCATACCAGGTAGGTACTTTGATTTATTTAATAAGATTATGTTTATGTACTCTATTTTAAACATGCATATAAATATACTAATAATTTTAAATCATTCCAATCCCATTAATATATAGTAGTATCCAGTAGTGATAGTTTATATATAAACAGTATAGGGTTTTCACAAATAGTATATTTAAGTTTCTTTAGAGTCGACAACGCATTAGTGATACACCTAGTGTGTCAGAAATCCATAGGTTACAGTAACTGCTTATCATCAAACGGGCTGTATACTTGTTTACCAATTTGGTATAAAAAAGAAAACAGTTTTTAATTAGCTACCTATTATTTTAAAGAGTGGTGACAACTCATTCTGATAAACTAACTATGATTTAGGCCTCAAGATCGAATCCCAACATAAACATTTAAAATTTCAAAATAATTATCACTTTCTTCGTGTTTTAAACCACGTGAAAGATTTTCATGTACCTCTTGCCTCAATAAAATGCCTCATTAATAAAAGGAACGTAAAATATTTTCAGAAGCAGACAAACAATTTAAAAAAATAAAACGAAGCAAAGTATATCTTTTAGTAGCTTGTATAGTTAGTGTATAAAAGATTTGATTAATATTAAAAACAAGATATCACACAATTTGAGGATATATTTAACTGTATTAACAACAAAATACGTTAAACAAAATAAATGTACGTACTTTTATATTTTTCAAATCTGTGACATGTGAAATAATAACAGAGGAACTAATCACTATGTTAAAAGTCGGCACTGCTTTTATATCAATAAATCTCGAAAATTAATAATTAACTAATGTAACTAATTAGAAGTACAAACACAACCAAACCAGTTAATACTCATTATATTGTCTTTATCATAGTACAGCTATTTATTATAATGTCTTTATCCAAGTAATTAATATCAATAGGTATTATAAAAGTTCTAGATACTTAATAGCGTACATTTTCAAATTCCACGAAATGGTTATATAGTTTTGTTCGCCTCAGTTCTGGCCACTTTGAATAAATAGATTCCTTTATATATATTCGAAGTGACGTGTCTATGCTTAGGTAAGTGACAATTGTTACTAAAAAAAAATTACAGATGTCAAAATGTTGGTTTAATGTCAATGATATTTCGATACTTTATGATACATTCATACAATAGAATCGAAACCTGTCAATGATTACGTCTTCAAATGACCAGTGATTCAATGCGAATCGTATAATCTGTCAATCTTTGAATTGAAGATAAATACAGTGGATTTCATTTATTATGACCTTGGTTGTAGCTGTAGGCTGTAGCGACCATTTACTTATAGCGACGTTAAGTCAAGTCCCTTGAATTTAAAGCATACTTTAGTACAAAATTCATGTAGCTATAGCAACTTCTGATGTAATGCCGAGTTTGGGTGTAGCGATTGTTTTTAATGAATCATTTGTAACAAATTCCTAGAAATCCCATGCAAATATTGCGACCGAAATTGGCCGCTAAAGAGATACCAAGATTCCTTTCTTTCACAAAAATTTCTAACCTTTTGTTTACATCCACACAAATGGTCAGCAATTAAGGAGACTTTTACTTATTGTTTATAGATATCAGCTAAGTAGGTAAGGAAGCGTGTACGTTTCCGAGTTGAATTTATGGTTCAGTTACAAAGTGATACTCTGAGTAGCAATTGAGTTTAGTAAACTTTTGGAATAGTATGACTGCCTCGACGGACATTCACTGTTAAATAAAAGGCGGAAATCATTTCAAAATTGAAAAACGGTGAAAACAATGCTGATTTGTGCGAAGAACAAACTATACATGTGTACGTGTCTGTATCTCTTTACCTTTGCCTGTAACGACTTCCGGATATAACGACAAAAATAGAGTGGTTCCTTCATCGTCCAGTGAAATCTACAGTTTTTTTTTTATATACAACTTAGAATGGCAAACAAGCTGACGGCCCACCTGATGGAAAGTGGTAATCGTCGCTCATGAGCAGTACCATGGACATAACAGAATATACTGTTTCGCCCATGATACCCTCCGTGTGTTGCCATTCCTGAGGACTCAGGTATTATTCCTCTGTACCCTGTAAATTCACTGCCATATCCCATCCTTCAACCGAAACAATTCAAAATTTTTTCAAAATATTTAGTTATGAATTTCGTCGTTCTTACATTTGGAAAATTCTCGAAATCATAATTAAAAAAATTAGGCTCTCTAGATAAGTGGCAAGCGAATTCGTCGATGGAATCGACATCGCTAGCGAGTCCGTGAGATAGAATGAGATAGCAACGCCGGGTGACTCACTCCAACTCACGAATTCGCTAGCGATATTGATACCATCGGCGAATTCGGTTGCCACTTATCTAGAGGCCCAGGGCGGCCAGGAATTTTTTTCTCTATTAATCTGCCCGATTGTGGTGTAAGGGCATCTGAGTACCATCGCCTCCCTAGCCATACTATTTGTATTTTCTCCGTAACTTGTATCCTTATTTTTCCTTTTCACTTATTACATTGCTTCTTATGACTGAGATGAATGGGAAAAGAATGGCTCCAATATTAAGGGCTGGTTTAAAAATAGAAGAATTAAAACTCAACTACTCCAGAAGTGTAACATTCCGTCCCTGAGTGTAACTAAAGCAGTCCCATTGTATCTGGAGGACACATTTCTAGTTAACAGCAATACCATGTTATTTCAATGAGCCCATGAGTCTAGATTCCTTTAGATACGACTAAAACTTGGTTTGGTCCATATTTTTATTCTTTGCACTTATGATCCGGATATGTTTAATCCACCAAAGGTCAGAGTTTTGGGAAAGTGTAAGGGAAATTATAGACAAATGTAAGTAGAATGAAAAAAATATTATGATAGGTGACTTTAACGGGTGGGCTGTAATGAATATGAAAGGATTTCATGAATGTTTGGAGATAAAAGAGTAAAATTTTATTATGTCGACTGATATGGCTTACATTACTATTTCATTCAGTGAGTAATTTGCTACCTTTTTATACTTACATTGTAACACTTCATTTGGCAAAATAGGTTTAAAACACGCAAATTAAAATGCAAATTTTATTATTAAACTTAAATATAATTTATTTGTAATAATATGTATTTTTCTCTATATGGAAATTACAAACTGGGTCCAAATTAAAATTGTCTCACGATTACTTATTAACGAAAAATTTATGACAAATTAGATTCGATCCTCTCAATGATTAAAAAAGTAGTGATATCTTTTCTTGTGGAACACAATACACAAATTATATCTAAAAACAAATTATTTAATGTATTTCCGTGTACTTATAAATACATTGATGGTGTCTGATTTTCAATAATATTTATACAATACAAAGTCCTTAATATTTTATTCCCATTTATTACATTATTATGAGACTTTTGAGACTTGCACCTATTTGCTTTTTCTATAAAGTAATTCAGTTATATGAAAACCACCACTTAATCCTAAATTGACATCAGCAAAAGTGTCATCTAGAGCTTAATCTAATATAATAAACTTTTTTAGTTCAATCAAGGTCATTAATATGAATATTAGTAGATTTAATCTACTCCATTTTCTGTATTATCAGATGGATATTTTAATTAATTACGAATATAAAATTACTTATTAACTAATGTGTGGTGAAGGGTGGGTGGGTGCTTATAAAACTCTTTCAATTTATTCTATACTTACCCACTTAAAAGTGAACGATATTTGTACTTTGTTCACTGACTGACAAATTAATAGGAAAAGCCATGTACGGCAGTGAAAAATCTTTCATGATTTCTTTAACTTGGCAGAATGTTATATGCCAGATACTTATTATTGTATTACAATTATATCACGAACACAATGCATTTATCAATGACAACGTCACTGATGGAGATATAACATTAAACATTTTCTTATACATTGTCTAGGAGCATCGTTTCATCTAAACCTAGCGTGCTGCCCTCTTTTAAAATTAATTCTAATGTAACACATGAATTAAGTAGAAATAATACAATACATTTGCACGAACATCGCACTGAGGCACAATTCGTGGTACAATATTGATGTGTCAGTGACTAACGTAAAACACGTAATAATTAAGCATCTCGTTAAAGAAACGCTGTAGAATGTAGTGAGGGAGGATGCCCACAGGGCAGAATGCGTAGCTCCGGACAAGTGAAGCGTGAGGCACCGAGTGGCGAGGGGCTCTCTGTTGCACGTTACATGATGCGGCAGTTCTCTTCGCCCTCCCGGATCTCACCCAGCTGCAAATAGTGAATGGTTACATTAACACGTTTATTATAAATATTGAGTATAATTATTACAGAATATATGATGAAATATGTATTCATTTAAAGACACGTACATCACCACTTACAGTATTAAAATGAAATGCATGTTTGTTATTGATTTTGTGAAAAATGAATGATTCTTAAAATGTGCGTGAAAATAAGTCTGTATTTTAGAGAGAGAGAGAGAGAGAGGCAGAGAGAGAGAGAGAGAGAGAAAGGCAGAGAGAGAGAGAGAGAAAGGCAGAGAGAGAGAGAGAAAGGCAGAGAGAGAGAGAGAGTACAAAAAATTGAAAGCAGGTAAGGTTGTAAAAATATACTGAATAATCCCACAGAAAAATAAATTTATTAGCAAAATTATAGAAATATATTAAACAATTAATATTCACTAGATTATTATATGTGTATTAACTAGATTATTTTAAGACTATCTTATGATAAATAAAAAAGGTAAATGTGTAGTAGAAAATCAAATTCATTGATTGATCTTCAGTTTATATCATAATAATAAATTATTAAGGTAACCTATGTAATGTTCGTTAGTAAGTACATTTTATTCAAGAAAATTTACTTATTCTATTAGTATACAAGTATAAATATATGAGAAATTATAAAAAGTAGTAATTTTGTATTGTAGGTACCGATGTCACTTGTTTCTGATACAAGAAGTCAAAACATCATCCTCAAACATGACAACATCATAGTGGTGAGGCACGTCACAGTATAATCTGTAATGTACATGACATTTATAGGTGATGATAGATCTACTGCCGTCATGCTCTTTCAATTTACGTCATCGACATGAAAAAGAATCCAAGATGATTTCTTCTGTATAAATATTACACTTTTAAAACTGAAGAAAATAAAGTAGTTTCCTATTAGTACAAGCAGAGTAGATTTATTTTAATAAAAATATATTTATGAAGTATAATATACTATAATCGTGCTTAGTGAAAATATAAGTATATACTGTAATCATACTTAGTAAAAATATGAAATTTCGTATTTTTTTTTTAGAATTATAGATGCTTTTTTTTACAAAACTTGCAATAACGCTGGCATATTCAACAATAAACATATAGCATATTTTTAACGCTACTTTTCCATCTCTGGTTTTACATCTTGGGTATATCTTGGTTTTTTTTTTATATCGATGATTTATACATTTCGATTGCGTGGATGGAGTACCTGATCACGGCGAGGGAATTTATGTGCAAGTTCCCGATGTCTTTGGGCGCTGGTGCTGACTTGCCGCCGCTGCCTCTCAGATATGGCTACCTCCTGTAACGAAACACAATAATATAGTTTAAATATTGGGAGACCTTTTTATTATTCATAACTGTACAAAATATATGAGACAGAGAGATAATACAAAGCTTGCTTTAAACATGAAATATTACAGGATTCAGTGGCTCAAAATTGTGATGGCACAAAGGTTGATGAAGAGAAAGGTAGATTACGCGTGAAGAGACATTCTAGTTTTTATTGAGCTGTGATGGCCACTTAAACTACCATAATATTATATTGGATTGCCACACTTAATATAAAAAAAAGTTGAAATACAAAATTTCCAATATAATATAATACAAGATTAATATAGGATCATCTCCTTTTTGATTAAAAATGATAATTAGCAAAATTTTGTTGAGTAACATACACAAAACAATTACATATCACAAAGACAAAGTCCCAGTTGTAAAATTTGCAATTTTTTATAATTTAATCATATGTACCAATTATTTAAAGAACCTAAAGAATACTATTTTTCTCTTCCCCTTCTCAAATAAGCTGAATTGAAAATTTCTTCCTTTTTGAAGACTTAGAACTATTATGCTCTATTTTATGACAGACAAGTAATTAAACCTGTGGAGGTAGAAGGGATTATTAGTAATGGGGACTAGCAGTCCTATTGCTGGCAATATATCTGGCTAGAATCAGCCTACACGCGGTTCCCGCTAGAAACTACCATGTTTAATTTCGATGAATTCATCACAATGGGCCAACTGCCTCTGGCAGATGAGACATCTGCATATATCGATAGCGTAGGCCCTATATAGGGAATCCCACATTATAACCATTAAAAAAAAAAATTAAACTAGTAACTAAGCAATTACCTCCTGATCATTATTGAGGAGTGCCGTGGTGAAGTTGTCGGCGACGAACCACTTCTGTCCCTTCATAACGATGTGGTGTGGGGGATCGTGGTCGGCGCCGACGTCAGCTGACCACACGGTCGCCACTGCGCCCGGCTCCAGCTTCACTGTGCGGTGGAACTTGAACACTGTCTCCTGGTCGCCGGCTTTGCGGATGATCTGGTAGCCACCGAGACTCAGTTCCTGGGAGAAAAGTAGCGGTTGTAATAAAAAGTGGTTAAAGAAACTTAATGATTAAAATAAGCAGTCTTTACAAACATTTCTAAGACAAGATAATGATATAAAAAATCTAAAGTATAAATGATATGTATGTACATGTCTTGTGTAAATGATGTCTGAGCTTCAGGGTCAACTTAGGAAACAATAATTTAAAAATATTATCTCAAATGTGATATTGTCAAATATTAATTATCTGGTTTAAATGATTATTTGATACTTAACATTATATCTGTACCTAGCTATTTATATATTTTACAATATATCAGATGTAAGTGGATGTGTAAAAAATATAGGTAAAAACAGTTCACTAAACGTTCCATGTCCTTTCATAAACTACTACAAAAGTCGGTCTTGTTAAATCACCTGCCTCAATTTTCTTTTTTACTGTAACTAAATATTAAACAAGCTGATGGTTAATTCAATAAAAAGTGGCAAACTTGACTGGTTGTTTGTATTAAACATCAATACAGATATAATGCAAACCTTCTTGCCCTTGTTGCGAATCTTGACAAATGTGCCTTCGGGGCAGGCCTCGGCCACCTCGAGGTCACCCTTGGCGCTGGCGGTGACGCTGTAGTCGCTGAGGCTGCGCTCCTCGCTCTCATCGAGCAGCGTCCGCTTGCGGGCGGCACGCAGCGGCGTGGCGCGGCGGCCGGGCGTGAGGCGGCCCGTGCTGCCGATGCCGCTGCTCGACGCGGCGACGGAAGCGCGCGATTCGCGGCCTGGCGACTGCCCGGTCAGGTTCAACCTGCGAATACGAGTGCTCTATTAGATTAGACCGTCGCCGAGCTCGTCTCTTTTATTCATTCAATTAGTCACAACATATGTTATTATTACATGTTTTTGTGTGTAAAAATAACGCATAAAATAAACATACATAAGAAACCAAAGTAATTTACTTTTAAATATAAATTAAATTTTTGTTAAAATTAGAACGTCGAACAATCTTTAAAATATCTATACCAGGAGGAAAAAATATAATAATATATACAAATGGCAAATGTGTAACATACAAACAAAAATACAATCGAATTTGAGAACTCCACATATTTCAAATACTTTAATTACATATGTACTTTAATTACAACAATTCGAGAACGCCTTTATTTTGAAATAATTTCGATCGGAAATAAAAAAACGGATCGGAAACGAGGATAGTGACCTGTCCTCCTCGCCCTCGATGAGCGCGCGGTAGGTGGCGATCTCGTGGTCGAGCGAGATCTTGATGTCCATGAGGGTGGCGTACTCGCGCAGCTGCGCGGCCATCTCGTCGCGCAGGCGCGCCAGCTCCTGCTCCAGCGACGCCAAGTCCTCGGCGTGCCGCGCGCGCTCCGCCTCCAGCTGACGCTCCAGTTCGCGGCAGCGGTTCTGTGGACAAACATAATTGTAAGTATATTTTAAAGTCAGATCGACGACAGTAGATGACTGTTATGAAAACCCCTCACGCTATCTATTACAGAACCTCCGTGACAATTACCATTAAACACACTATATTTAGTATGAAATATCTAATTCTTCCTTTAAGTATTTTTTTTTTTTATAAAAAGAAGACATATGAAATATAAATTATCATCATATCAGTTATTAATTGTTCACTGAGTTTTGCTAGTAGTTGCCACTCTTGGTAGATGGGTTGGCAACCACAGTTAGGGTTTGGTGATGTTTTAAAAGGGACGTTGTTGCCTATCCCTCAACCATTAAGGTCCCTTAGTTTGAATGAAATATAGTTAATTATAGGTAAATTACAATTAAAATGTAGTATGTTTTTACAAATGCTATAACATGTAGAGTTATCTTTTGTTATTTTAAAAATTCATTATGGTAACAATGTTTGTAACTTTATATATGTAATGTCTTGGATTCTATACAAAAATGGCATATATTAAGATCCTTTTTGCTTTTAGTGAAGATCATATTGTAACATTTTGAAATTAAATTATCTAGAGGAACACAAACAAAACAAACCACAAACCTAAATATACTCACTACAAACAAATATTAACGATTTTAATTTGTTATTGAAAAGTGTTTGAGGAAAGTCTCCTTGAAGTATTAGTTTTTTTTTTTTAATTAGATATAAATAAATTGAATTAATATAATTACACTGAGTGCAGCATTCTTATTCTCCAAGTCGTTGAGGGTTGAATTGAGGGAGTGGATGCGTGTGCGCATGGTGCGCAGCTCCTCCACGGCGACTGTCGCCGCCTGGCTGTTGCGGCTCGCGGCGCCTTGTAAGTTCTTCAGCTGTAGCATACAACAGTAGTATAAAGAAATTGTATAACAATGATATTTGATATGACTTAAAATTAATACATAGAAAGAGGATCAACAGGCTTTAACTGTCTACTGTTAAACATAAGCCTCCCCTTAGGGGGCTTTGCTAGTAGTTGCCACGCTTGGCAGGTGAATTGGCAACCGCAGTTAGGTTTTAGAGATGTTTTAAAAGGCATGATGTTGCATATCCCTCGCCCTCACTTAGTCGCCCTTAATAACACCCACGAGAAAGGAAGGAGTGGCTTATTCTATGCTGGGACCACACGATCATCATCAAAGAGCATCATTAACACAAAATTTCAAGAATGTGCAGAATGTGGACCCAACATTCATATATTTTTTTACTCCAAATCCAAACCATGTTTTATTATAATTTTGTATCTTTTTCTGATTATAGAATATTCATTCATAATTCAATATTTACAATATAAAGTAAATTCGTACAATATAATTTTGGTTAACTAATAAGATTTCTAAATAAGTTATATACTTATTTCATTAATAAAAATAAAAAAAAATAATGTACACAGTAATTCATTCCTATATTTTACTTTTTATAAGAGCGCCATTAATTTTATGCCCAAAGATCTCTGAACAATTTATTATGGCACTAGATATATTTAAAATAATATGGTACAATTAATATTACACAAGAACAAACCTTGTTCTCATAGAGAGCTTCGATTTCATCACGGTTGGCCTTGATGTTAGCCTCCTGCTGTTCACGCAACTCCTGGAGACTCTGTTGCAGCTTCGCCTCATACTGCTGTGCCAATCTGCCGTCTGAAAACATATCGAAATATTAGTCTTTAGATGTAACTATTATATTCATACCACATTTATTAGGGACTAGCAGTTACTACTTTTAAATTATTAATAAGAAGTTAAATATCTAATAAACTTAATTTACTTTTACCACACGTCATGTAGGTCCCGGCATGGAATGGACCACCCCTTCCCTTTCCGTGGGTGTCGTAAGAGGCGACTAAGGGAACTTATGGTCGAAGGATGGGCAGCAGCGTCTCCTTTAAAACATTATTAAAGGCCTGACTGCGGTTGCCAACCCGCCTGTCAAGCGTGACAACTACTGGTAAAACTCCCCTTATGGGAAAGGCCTATGTTCAGCAGTGGAGGACAGTTAATGGCTGATATGATAATAATAAAACTCATACCCTATAATTGTGATTAACATTTTAGTTCACTATCTATTAGAGAATTTTTTAAACAATTAATCAGAAATATTAAAAATTATTTATTTTAAAATTGACAGATAATGTAGACATTGCCATTGAATTTATTATGAATTACAACATGAATAATTTTATTTAGCGTTTCTCAAATAAAAACCAACTGTGGCATTTATCAGCAGTTAGGTTTACAAACGACAAGAATTATATTTTTATATACCGCAGAAATCAAAATAAAAACCGATTGTGTATTCATAATATTGTCATTACAATATATACTCGTAGTGGTTCCTTAAAATTCACAATTGCTCAATTATAAAATTCGTTGCATGACGAAATTGATTACATGCAAGTACATTAGCATAATAATAGTCACCATTACTCGGTTAACCTGTATTTGTTATCACCTGATTTAAGTCTAGCCTTTCAGGCCAATTAATGTGAGCGTCTGCTGTATACTTACGATGTCACAGCCATTCTAAATTATTTATTCAAGAAAAACAGCAATAACGTAGGTATATTCGTCAGTAGTGTGTTACTCGGTATATCATAAAAACAATATAAATTCATACTCTTAGCAGATCGATATACATGGAAATTTAATTACATTATATTGTGAATCCATAACAAATTTTTGTTTGATAAATAAGTATTCAGTTTTAAAAAAACAAACATTTTTTTTATTTTAAAGGACGTTTCGTAATATTTCAATATTGGACCTTATGATAAACCAAAAAACACAGAAGATAAATGCATGAGTACAAGATGCCGCGAATGAGAGAATCTTTAATTACGCACATACACACCAATAAGTTTATAAAATATGTGACTTCTGTATTTTGAAAGTAACTGTCAAATTCCTTTCGACAGAGAACGACATTTTGCGGCTGCGGAATCTGCGATCGAATTTGACTAATTTATTCAACAATGTACCCAAACAACATGCCCATTCTGTTACGCATATTTTCAAAGACGCTCAGGCAAATGTAAATAGAACGAGTGTTACGTTGACCATAACATTGTTTTGATAAAGTTATCCACGCGAACATCTTTGCATCTGCTATTAATTTCTTCGTCAAGCAGTTAGCTTGCATGATGTACTTCTACTTCTACTACTATCTATAGGATGAGATATGGGAATGAAATTATTATGGAAACTTGTAACGCGAGCCAAAAGCATTACCCGTTAGTCATTAACCCTACTGACAAAGTTACCCAGTAATTTCATTGCCTGTCTCAAATTGAAATACAGCCAATGCCAGTACAGCCGCTTTACAATAGAAACACGAGTGGGAAAATAGTAAAAGTGATATCTTCTAGTCTACTAGTTATTACTTAGAAGTAATTGAAAATATGACTACACCTACCAATTTCGGAGATCTCGACTTGTCGCCTGGTGCGGGTCTCCTGCAGTTCCTGTTGGAACACCTGGTCTTTGAAGGAGAGCTCCTCGCGAAGGCTCTGCACGGTGTTCTCCATGTCGATGCGGCACAGCATCTCCTCCTCGAGAGTTTTGCGCGTGTCGGCGTACACCTTGCGCAGTTTCTCCAACTCTTTGGCAAGATCCTACATATAAGAAAATTCTTCACTCATTTATATAATAAATAAATAAACAACAACAACATCATGAAATACTAAGATCATCCTACTACTATTAAAAATTTGGAAGTTTGTGAGAATGTTTGTATATATGGATGTTTGTGACTCTCACGCAAAATCTACTAAACGGATTTGAATAAAATGTAGTACATATAGATTATATCTCTAAATAAAACATAGGATATTTTATATTTTATATTGGATATGATATGTTATCGAAATAGTTATAGGCAAGTGTACGATAGATGTAATAGATATTCATTTCCATACCCGTGCTTCATCCTGGGCCTTCTTCTTGTCAGCGAGGGCGGTGTTATATTTGTTGCTCTCTTCGGTGAAACGAGTCTCGTAGTGACGAGCCAAATTTTCGGCCTGTTGGCAGTCCTTTGTCTTTTTATCCAATCTGAGAGCAAAATATAAAATAATATATCATCAAATATATAGTTAATAATGAAAACACATGATTTTGAAAGACGTAACATTTTTTTTGTAAGATTATGTATTTTTTTTGTATAAAATAAGCTTTCAAATAGAAAACTTATTTTATGTAATTAATTATTAGGTAGTTAGTAAATATTTATTACGTGACATGGCTTGCCGTGTGGTTCTAGCATGGAATAGGTGTCGTAAGAGGCGACTAAGACAGAGCAAGAGATGGGCAGCAGCGTCCCTCTTAAAAAACCTCTAAAGCCTAACTACGGTTGCCAATTCGCCTGCCAAGCGTGGCAACTACTGGCTAAACCCCCCATGGGGGAAGCTGCGGTTCAGCAGTGGCTAATTAAAGGGTGATCACTTTAATCATGGCTCCTTGCTAAAATTATCTTTGCAGTATGTTTGACGGAAGCAAAGAATTTATTTAAGTGAACCTGTTTGTTTATTTTTTTTTTATTGACGTCTGATTGATAACGTACATATGAGATTCCAAACAAAAAAAAAGATTAAGTATAGAATAATAATTAATTTACAATAAATAAGATGAATCCAAAATCTTTTCGAAATATATTTAATATATATTCAATAAAAAGGAATGAGGTTTATTTTTAAATATTTTGAAAGAGAAATATAAGAAAAGAGATTCATATTTCTTTGACGATACTAAAACCTCATTCCTCTTCATTGAAGAAAAAGTATTTTGAAAGATTCATCTCGTTTAACACATTATTTTTGTAGAAAGACTATTTGTATTATTTTGGAAAGTTACTAATCTACATCATAAAGAAACGTAACAACAACAATTATCAATAATTTTCACCGCATAATTACATTTCTATTTTACCAAAGGTTGACTGAGAATGAATTAAACCCGCCTTTTGTACCAAAAATTTTTTCGTAATGTGGTCAATCCTTACTAATATTATAAACGTGAAAATGAGTTTGTTTGTTACCTTATAACGTCTTAGCAGCCTAACTAATCAATATGAAATTTATGTGTCTATGTATATAGTGTGTATGGATCGGCATATCCTAGTCACGCGACCGAAGTCGCGGGTAAAAGTTAGCAAACAATAAAATAAACATTTCGATCTTTACGAGCTGAAAGACATATAAAACCTAATAAAGTTATATTATTATTCACTATACTAACAACATTCCGAAAACATATGGCAAAGGTTATTGAATACTGGAAACCGTGACATCGAAACGAGGTGAGCGTACAAACGCGTCGAAGCCTTGTCTGTCGCTATGCAGTCACGCGACCCTGCGCAGTGTCATGACGAGATATGTTTTAGAATTTCCCAATATCCGGTTCCCGAGAACGCATCACAACCTGTACTGTAAACTATATTTTAAAAACTTTCTCTCACGACCTTATTTGCATATGGGTGGAGTCTACAGTAAATAACAGTTTATCCCATTTCCCATACAATAGTACAGTCATAAGTTGTCATTTTATTACAATTTTAGATCATAGAAAATAATAATAAATAAATATACAAGTTAAACATGTAGGTAGAAAATATACCTTCATATATATAGTATTAGATGTTGAATAGCTTATAACTTTCCTCAAGAAGTAAGTTATCAAAAGGAAAAGAAATTTTATCAAATCAGACTGGTAATTCCAGAGATTAGCGTGTTTAAACAAACAAACTCTTCCGCTTTACTATATTATAAATATAGTAAGATATTGAAATTAGGTACTAATTTGTCAATGTATGTACGTCGGAACCATCCTATTCGCTAAAAATATGTAAATAAATATGTATATTAAGTTATTTAATATTAAATTAGCTTCGTCAGTTCATTATTAAGAAGCGACAAGAAAAATTGCAATGAAGATACGCATGAAAACGTCAACTATTAATTTTCTCATCCCATGAATTGAATCCCATGCGAAAATTTCGCATGGGATTCAATATTCGAGTGTCCAGACGGTACAGGGTCTACTATTCTAAGTTGAACCCGATTTATAGGCACCTTTTAGCTTAAAAAGAGATCCGTCTATAAAATATATTTCAAGACGGTGGTGTACCACCGTATATACAAAAATAAGCGCATAATATACAATAATAGTTAAGCGATTTCCATATATTATTAAGTAAATTTTAAGTGTAATTCTGAATCGATTTTTGTATTTCTTTTTGCAATCTTGTATTGGCATATTTTGTTCTTATTTCCCTTTTTGGTTCTCAATTTAATACATTTCATTATATTCTTTTTTTTTTTAAAGTTATTTTGTAAAGAAATATGGATCGATTTTGACGATTATTATTTAAATCGGTTGATTTAATTATAATTTTTATTAAGACAGAGTTTATTTTTTGCAAGAACTCTAAGCGCTGGCAATACACACTGTTCTATTTTCTAGCTGTAATAATACAAAGGTCGTTCTACTTTTACTTCCGTAAGAAAAGTGTAAACACGATAGAAATGCGTTTATCTTCTATCAAGACCCACAAGTATTCTTATTAAATACAGGATAGTTCTAAATAACAATCTCTTACCGAAACCTTTAAGACTGGCACAAAAAAGAATCAATAAATAGCGTTTTCCCGCGTTCAGCACAACTTAGTAACGTAGGTATCCAACGTCTATAAAAATCCTATCCATTGACGTCGCGTGCCTCGAGAGCCGAAACGGAAGGCCTTGGCCGATATTTGTACTAAGCAAATGCGTGACCGAAGACATTATAAGAAAGGGGATGTTGCTTGTCCCACTTTTAGTATTCCGATATCTAACTGGTACGCAACCGCATCACAAAAATAACAGAGATAACACTAAACTATTGATTGAGCAACGTACCGCGTAGTCGTCAATGTAAACAATTGTTACGTAAATATTAACATTTGAGAATTTTATTTAGACATGATGTCAACGTTCGTCAATGATTTAGTACTAACTGACCTCTAATAAGTAGGTATAGCTTACTTAGATACTAAAGGTCATTTTGTACCTCACCGGTATTCAGAGAAATATGTTGTAAATAAAAGGGTATAAATATTACACCATAAACCTGAAGCCTATTAATCTTGACTGGTTATACAAAATTAATTTATTTTGTGTAACGCGAGTATTTTAACCTCTACGTTGTATTTGTTATACTGTTTTCGTTATAGTAAACAAGTTGTAATTCAATTGTATAACCCGCCGAGTTGAATAGTTTTCATGTATTGAAGGAGTAATATTAAAGTACTAATACAGTTTGATCGGTGGTTTATACTTGTATCCCATAAAGTTTAGTGCAAACGTTTTTTTTGTTTCCCTTGAAATCTATTTAAAAAAATTATAGCTTTTTCCGTTACTTTATACATGTAGATATACAAACAGATTATCTACAAATCATGTCACGTACGTTGTTAAATAAATTTAGAATTTGTTATTTAAAAATATTATTATGATAAATTAGAGTTTTTATATAGAAAGTTCGTTACGTCAATATAATTAAGAGTTACGACTAAATAAATTTTTCTCGCGGTTATGAACGAAACACATGTGCAAAATGTCGCCAATTTATATAGAAATAAAATAAACGCGACGTGGGAGTCGATCGGCGGGGGCGGGCCGATGACTTACTTTGGATTATCAATATGAATATATAGATTAATTTGAACAACTACGATCTCAAAATCGATGACGCCACGATTATTTTTAAGGACCAGTCACCGCATATTAATCCAGACCATCGGCCGATATACGAGGTCTGTCCGGAAAGTTCGTATAAAAGTGTTCTGGAATGCGAGAAAGAGGAGTGGGGAGGCCAGGTAAGCGCAGGACCCCTTCCTTATGTCCCTAACAATGCTTCAGTTCTGGTCTGACCGCCGTGCGGTGCGAACTGGCTTGTCACGCCATCTGTGAAGTTACCTCTTAACGAAACCCCGTCGGCATGGAGCCCGCTTCCGTTGAAGAGCAGCGCGTCGTAATCAAGTTTCTCTCGAAACTCGGCAAGAATGGCCGTGAAATTTTTGCCGATCTCAGAACAGTTTATGGGGAGGATGCTGTGAAGGAACCAACCGTCCACAAGTGGCTAAAAAGATTCAGAGAGGGCCGAGACAATGTTGATTGTTTTTTTCGATGTTCGGGGGATTGTCCATCAAGAATTCGTCCCTCCAGGCCAGACAGTTGATGGAAAATTCTACGTCGATGTGCTCAGACGCCTCAAAGCTCGTGTGGCACGAGTTCGTCCAGAATTGGCGCGAGAGGGGCGTTGGATTCTTCACCACGACAATGCCCCTGCCCACACCTCTCTTGTTGTCCGTGAGTTTTTGAGTAAAAATTCCATTACGGTGACCGAACACCCCCCTATTCGCCGGATTTGGCCCCGTGTGACTTCTTCTTGTTCCCAAAAACCAAATTGGTACTTCGGGGGCGGCATTTGGGGGACATAAATGAGATAAAAAAAGCTACGACGGGGCAGCTGAGAAACCTACAACCAGAGGACTTTCAAGGAGCCTTCTCACAGTGGAAACGGCGTTGGCACAAGTGCATTATGTCACAGGGGGAGTACTTTGAAGGGGATAAAATTGATTTACCTGAATAATTGTAAAATAAAATTTTTAAAAAACTTTTATACGTACTTTCCGGACAAACCTCGTACCTGTATAACTTGTATCATTACGTCATTAATGTCGCATTTATCCGGTCGTGTCGTCCGCATGGCCGGGTACATTGATTGGGCAGGATAAAAATTAGCTAATATACTTCTTTATGGGAAACATATGTATACCCAATTGTATAAATACACCAAACGGTAACAAACAAACCTTTACATTTGTAATATAAGGATAATATAAACATAAGGATTCAGTCATTGAAAGGCTGCGAAAATTAAAGATTTTCCTGTACAATAATGATTCCAGGAAGTTGGAAGGTAACTGTGTCAAGAAGTTATATTAATATTCAAGCATTTAAGGAAATATTTAAAGGTATTTAATTAAATAAAAACATAAAGTTAGTGTAACTATAATTTATATAGGGTGTTGTAAGAGGTGACTAAGGAAACTTAACAGCCAAAAGATGGGCAGCAGCATTCCTCTTAAAACATCACCAAAGGCTAACTGCGATTGCGGTTGGTTGTTTTCTTTATATACCATTTTTTATGCATGTCTAATGTGAGTACATATGTTTGTTAACTCAAAAAAACTTAAAATAGATTTAAGCTAGATTCTAAAGCATAATTATTTATGTTTTTTTTTAACATTTTACAATATATTAAAGGCAAAGAAACATATTTTTTTTTTTGTATTATTAAGAGTTACTTATCATGTATTATTCTAAAACAGCAAGATAATTAAAGAGAATTTAATTTAAGTGTCATTAATTAACTATATAAAAGAGTATATAAAGAGATAAGTATGAAAGTTACAGTCAAGGTGGTACATTGTTTGATATTTTTTAACCTTGTGTTGTAAACTTATCATTAAAATGCACTTGCACCAATAACCTCACGAGCCAGGAAGTGATGTCTACAAGATAATATCATGAATATTTTGTATTATATATATATAATATAGTATATCACATAATTTGCATTTCCAATAATTATTCCATAAGTCAAAGTTTGCATACACCTATTTACAATGTTAGTAAAATAATTAAAAATTTAACACCTATTAATAATTATTCAATGAAATAGGTTACTACAGTTATCTACATCTTATCTTTACATATTCACTTTATAGTTTTCAAGTCAATTCTTTCAAAACATAATTATTAAAATTAATGAATTGAGAATAATTCATTTTAGCATTTATAAATATTCAAGTACTAAGTAATAATTATGTGAATTTATTAAAAATATTTATTTAGTTTATCAAAATTAATTTTGCATATTAAGTTCGTTATGTGATTAAGAAATTTACTAAATGTTTTTTGCAAATAAATATGACCATTTTAACAATCACATTATCAAAATAGTGAACCATGTTACAAGTTTATATATATATATATACAGAGCAAAAAATTTTTAGTCTACTTGAAAAAAGAAAAACAAAAAATTTTTAATAAATGACTACAGTATAAAGTTTCATTGTCATTGATATATATACAGGTTCCTGTTAAAGTTTAATTTTTCAAGATAAGTGAGATAAGAATGTGTAATTAATCTTACATGTTGTATTTTGATGTTGAGACTAATTCACCTTGACATAAATATCTAAATTATTATTTCGGCAATATAAACAAAGTAGGGCAAATAGACTGAAAATATGATAATATTTATATCACACAATGATACTTTCAACTATAAATTATATAGTTATTTAAATACTAGATGTATTACATTACAGTACAGAAAACTTAGTTGAAATCCAACATTTTTAAATTAATATAGCAAAGTATGACTACATTTTATTATATGCCTGAACATATGATTATAGAATTTATTAATAACATAGATGTAGAAGTTTAGGCTAGAAAAAAATAACCAAGACATTATGAACATATTAATTTGATATTATGAATTATTACTATTTTGTTATTTTAACCTATTTATAAACAATAAATGATAAAGTGATAGTATACCTTAAGTGATTAGTTACATATAGAACTGTATAAATTATGTGTGGCTACTTAGGTATGTGACTGATATAGTTATATTGAGCTATGATGTCACGATGTCGTAAAAGCGAGGCCGCGCGCCGTCACACCGCGCCCGCTCTAAAACCTCGACGATGACGTAAACTTAACACTAAGGTTAGCAGGAAGATTTAGAATGCTTTTAATAAGTTCTGACGTGATTTATTAAATAAACTTTCTGACTACACCTGCATTTCAGTAATTGTAATATGAGTATGATAGTAAACTTACCGCTTCTTCAAATCATCGTTCTCTTCATATAACCTCTTCAAATCAATTTCCAACTTGGCTTTCTCACGAGATGTATCATCTAACAGTTTTCTGGCGTCTTGCAATTCATGTTCATACATTCCCTTTATATTGGACACCTCGCGGGTGACCACCTCCTGTGTAGTTTGTATTTCACGACGCAAACCAGAGTTTTCACTTTCGAGCTGACGGACTTTATCAATGTAAGCCGCCAAGCGGTCATTAAGGTTTTGTAAAGCATCTTTTTCCTGAAGTCGGCTATGTCTTGTTGGACTTAAAGGGCTACTGGGCCGGCCGGCAGAGCTAGAAGGGCGGCTACCAACAGGAGTGCTTGATTGCGGAGGGCTTTGTACAGATGATACGACACTAATGTTTGAAGTAGATGTCACACTTTTTTTTGTTTTAGACGACATTGCGGAGTAGTGTTTATGTCACAATAGTTAATAAATATGTAAAAAAATATCAATTCACACAAGCTACCACCAGAACAAGCGAGTTCTCAAACGAAATTCCCTCAAACAACGACCAATCAAATCGTAAACCCAAGCTTGTATGGTCACGTGACCGTTGAGTCACTTAAAATGTTACCAGTTTATTTATTTATAACTTCCACTAAAAATGTCTGTAGACGGTCACAAGCAGGACTGTCAGAAACAATTGTAATCCCCATGGCAAGGTTTTTTAATGGTTGATAATGGAATGGTTAACCCGGCCGCACTATCGGTGTTCACTGGAAGGGCACCAGTCAGGAATGATTAGTGCGGATGAAAAGGCAAGAGAGTTAGCCCATCGTGACGAATTCAACGATAAATTAGTTACGAAAGATTCCATTAACCATACGGGGGGAACTGCATGGAGGTCGACCTGATAGAGTATGTTGACTAACCTCCTTATTACTAATAATCCCTTCTCCCAATTCCCTGGCGAGATTTCTCCTAGAGACTATAGTATGGGGTTCTTAAAAAAATGTAAAAGAAGGTTTCTTCAGGACTGGTAACCCATATTGTTGCAGGCGTCGATAGGCTATAGTAACCGTTTAACATCAGACCGGCATATAATCGGTCATACAACTTGTTTGCCACCTTTATGGTACATATAAAAAAAAAATTGCCATAGTCTCACTAATCTGTGGCGTAGAATTAGTAGATTTGTAGCAAATTTATAGTGATTATTTACTCTATGCTTTAGCAGAATTATAAAAAAGAAAATGTTTTTCTATATTTAATTATATTTTTTTTTATCTTTTCATGGTGAAAATATTTTAGAAAATGACTGATATTAATAGTTTATTTGAATGTTTTGAAGAGCCAGTACAGAATGAAGCTCCTGTTCACTTTCCGAATATTAACTACTCCAAGGACAAATCGTAAGATATCATATAACCTTAACGTGTTTTGTTTTTTAGCAACGAAATATTATTGTATGGCCAATCTATTGAATACACTGAATTATATGATGCTTGTGAACATTATTTTTATATCTTTATAATATACGAGTATTCATAACTTAGTATTTACTAGTTTACTAGTTATATATTGGTAGTGGTTGACAGGTTATTTAATTCATTTTATAAATTCTAGAGATTTAACTCATGACTCCCCATCGTCAACAAATAAACGGCCACACGAAGAAGTGGAGTATGCAGATACATCTCAGGCAAAAAAACCCAAACATGAGGAGGATGAATCGGAGCTGACTAGCGACATTAAGTAAAATATTATTATTCTTTTAATAATTAATTTAAGAATTTTTTGTTGATAATTAATACCACTACTGTTCTAATTGAGATGTCTTCTACTGCCAAGATTTTAGGCTAGGATCATAGGTTTATGTGTATTGAAATAGCAAAAGACAAAATGATAACATTTACAAAATATATAGAAATAATTTTTATTAGTGAAAAAAGTGGAGGTTCAATTGTATATGTTTGTATGTGTGTCTTAGTTCAGTTTGATTGTATTTAATGCTTTTGTAAAATGATATCTTAAATGATTGTAAATATACTTTTTATATGTTTAAATGGAATGACACTGAAATGAAATGTAAATTTAGATCATATCATCTTTGTATTCTTTCAATCAAATTTTAATAAAATCCATTCATTGTGTTTGCATGAAAGAGTAAAAATATCTATTCATCCTTATAAACTTTTGTATTTATAATAGTAAAATTTTAATCAGTTTTATGTGATAATATATTTTACACATTGTTTTAGCTTAGAACTACTCAGTTCCCGTATAGTTATACACACTTTAGAGACACATGAAGGCTGTACACATGAAGTGGCTATACCTCCCAACCATGAATATGCACCACTTACACCCCTTACATCTGAACCTGCCAAGCAGTATAGTTTCATATTGGATCCATTTCAGAAGGAAGCCATATTATGCATAGACAATTTGCAATCTGTATTAGTTTCTGCTCATACTTCAGCTGGTAAAACTGTGGTTGCGGAGTAAGTACTGTTTCATTGAAAACTTGCATACTTTTAGAGATTTAAATTTATTTTTGAAACATGCAATTATTTCAAACAAAATTGTAATTTCAAATAAAAAGCACTTTAAATAATAAATTTAATCATGTTAAGTCCAGAAAATATATATTAGTTTATTATTAGTATTTTAAAGTAATAGTTTGTTATTTTGAAATTAACCTTGCAGGTATGCAATTGCACTTTCACTGAAGAACAAGCAAAGAGTGATATACACAACTCCAATTAAGGCACTTTCCAATCAGAAATACAGAGAGTTCTCAGAAGAATTCCATGATGTAGGACTCATCACTGGAGATGTAACCATTAATCCTTCAGCTTCTTGTCTTATTATGACCACTGAGGTGAGATTATGTATATTCACTCACTATTTTGTAAAAGTACTTTGATCATATAGGGATCATCCACACCTCATATCTCATAAACATTATGTGTTTTGGAGCTTCCTCTTTCCATCTAACAGTGATGGCATTTATATATTACTTCCTCTAATATAATTTTTAATTTAGAAATTAGTAAATTAAAACAATACTTCCAAAATCATAACTGTTTTAATAATGTTTTTTTTTACATTTGCAACATTCAAGATTCTAAGGAACATGTTGTACAGAGGATCAGAGATAATGCGTGAGGTGGGATGGGTTATTTTTGACGAAATTCACTATATGAGAGACAAAGAGAGAGGAGTTGTTTGGGAAGGTAAGTCATTTTTCGTATTTTATTATCCTACTTAATTATAAACATGAATGTTTGAATATTAAAATGTATGTTGTTATGTATTCCAAATCTTATTCAAGATAAGATTGGGAATATATATGAATTATATTTTCTTCAGTACAAATACATATTACAAATATATAGAGAAGTAGTGGAATTGAGAACTTGTGAAAATTTTTACAAATTTTTGCACGTTTTTAGTAGTATAATACAAGTTTTGTATGGTTATTTACTCTAAACTTATTTTTCCACAGAAACATTAATTCTGCTACCAGACAATGTACATTATGTGTTCCTCTCTGCAACCATACCCAATGCAAGGCAGTTTGCCGAGTGGGTGTGTCGTCTACATTCACAACCATGCCACGTCGTGTATACAGAGTACCGACCAACGCCACTGCAGCACTACATCTTCCCAGCAGGTGGTGATGGTATCCACCTTGTTGTGGATGAAAAGGTGATTATTATATCTGTTAAATTATTAAGAGACTCCAAAAAGAAGGTTTTTGCTTCACTTTTATTTTTTTTATCTATATGGTAATACTTATTGTAATCCATAGAATTTGATCTCACATTAATTTCGTCATGATTGAAGTCCCAAATTGTTTTGCAGGGCTATATCTTAGTTTTTAAGATGGTTCATTATTATATAAATATTAGTTTTTTGCCACTGCTTCGTACTCGTGTTCACATTTACGTTTACGAAATACCAAGTTCTACCACAACCACTTCTAGGTGGCATATAAAAAATAAATACATAAATTTTTAAGTTAGACCTTCAGGGATAATTAGTGCAGTATACAAATCACATTTAATTTTGTTTTTGCGTGATGCCAGAACAAACATACAAACAGATATATAGACGTAAATTATCGAAATTATTGTTTTGACTTCTATTGCTACTATTAAAATCTCTTCTATCATTTTTTTATTTTAAATATCTCCCCTATATGTATATCGTCCAGTTACAATTTTATTATAATAAGATATAAATTTAGAATTTTGTTTTGGTTTAGTTATAAAAAGAATGTATGAAAGAATAACTAAAGGGATATACAGGGTGTATGGGACAGGTTGGCAAAAACTGAAACAGTGAACATCATTATTTTGAACTGAAAATCAATGGAAATTTTTACTTGAAAATTTCAATTTTTTTTGTATTTTTCATTTAAAATTATGAATTTATTAATATTATGTCATAATATAAGGGAATAATAATATTTTATAGTGAAATACTATGAAATACCAAGAAACAGAAATGTAATACATATTCGTATTAAAGTCCCATTGCGACGCGAGGAATCACCTGTGTAAGGTCAACGCCACAAGCGTACGAAAACTACCTACGGAGATGCGCCTTTGCTCACGTGGCGTAGATATCCCGCATCGCGTGGAGCACACAGTACGTCATAAAATTTCAGATATATTGCGGGGCATCAAAACTAAGAAACATTAATTATATGGCTGTGGTGCATTTTCAGTAAGAAAATAATCTGCCATCTGATTTAGATCATGCATCTAAATCAGCTGTGTTCGTTTTGGACAATCTGTCCTTTCCACCCTGAATAATATAAAAGGGGATCAAAGAAAATTAATGTAAGCATTACATTCTAGGGTCAATTTAAAGAAGACAACTTTAATACAGCGATGGCCGTCCTCAGTAATGCTGGTGATGCAGGTAAAGGAGACCAGCGTGGGCGACGAGGCGGCCCACGCGGGGGCAATCAGACAAACATCTTCAATATAGTTAAGATGATTATGGAACGGAACTTTGCCCCAGTGATTATATTCAGTTTCAGTAAGAAAGACTGTGAAGCATATGCTATGCAGATGGCCAAGTTGGACTTTAATACAAGTAAGTTTAGGGTTATCTTACGCATCTTACGCGGACAATCCTGTCCGTCGTTGTCTAATTCGTGCCACGCTCACTCTAGGTGCTCCCTGCGCGGTCACTATGCCGTTTGGTGGCGTTCGGGAGGCGAAACTAGGTTCCAACACGAATTGCTTCAACCCGGTTTTAGTTTATCATATGTACCGGGACTTTTCGAAAATCCGCTGAATGTCGCTGCCTACTTATATAACTAAGAACTGTTACAGTATAACATAGGTTCCCAAACTTATTTAATTTCAAAAAGAAAATATTAAATCTCTGATTCTTTATGAGTTTTATAGGAACCTCTAATCAAATTAGCACGCAAATTTGAAACTAGATGTGCCGTTGTACCAAACCAGTAATAAATTGAGTGTACTACTGCTTTACACAAGGTGAGATTGCCTATTTTGAGAAATATCGTTGTGTAATTTTTTACTAGAGTGCATGCAGTTTTTATTCTTCCTTTGCATTAACTTGTAACAATATTTTTTTATTATATATAGTCGAAGAGAAGAAGTTAGTGGACGAAGTGTTCAACAACGCTATGGACGTGCTGTCTGAGGAGGACCGCAAGTTGCCACAAGTAGAGAATGTGATCCCGCTGTTACGACGCGGTATCGGCATCCACCACGGCGGCTTGCTGCCCATACTCAAAGAAACTATCGAGATATTGTTCGGATTGGGACTTATTAAGGTAATAATTCATTCATTGTTAGTGTTATTACATCTCGATGGCTCAGTTATCCTGGCGTATTGAAGCCTTAACAACAAATTACTTGGAATAGAAAAAACTTTTGATGAAATTAAAATATTACTCGAGGGAGACTATGTACGAAAGTAATCCACTTGGGTACCTCTCTTCCACTCGATTTTCTGCCGTTAAGAAGCTCTGCATGCGGGACTATGTTTTGATTTAAAGGGTGGGATATGACAGTTAAATTACAGAGTACGAAGGAATAAGTGTTACAGTAGTTTAGGAACAGCAACGCACGATGGTACCGTGAGCATCACAGTGTGTTCTGTAACAGTCGCCTATTCACATTCGCGATGCTGCTCATGTCAATAGGCGACGCTATTGCTTTCTATCAGGTAATAAAACAGGGCTATTACACGCTAGACTGAGGGCAAGGGTAATAAATATACTACTCTGTACAAAATACCATGTTCAGTTTTTTTATTATATAGGTATAATATTTATTATATATGTGTGTTGTTTACAGGCACTGTTCGCTACAGAAACATTTGCTATGGGGTTGAATATGCCAGCTAGAACAGTCGTTTTCACATCATGCCAAAAATTTGATGGGAAGGACTTCAGATTCGTAAGTTGCTACTTTACATTCTATATGTGTATTATGATTGTATGATATTATTGTATCAATTTATTTGATTAAAGAATGTAGGATCATTTTGTCATTACAATCAAATTGTTTCGGATTTTTTTTTTTTTGCAATACTACAGTTATTGTTTTATTATTGTACATATAAATTGGTTTTTTTGTTCTTCATTGTAAAAAAAAAAAATGTATGTAAAAAAAGCATATATGTGTAATAATAAATTGATCTGTAACTAAATGATTGTTATCAGTCATTTATCGTTCAGTTATAGATTTTAAAGTTGTTTGCTTGGGCACCTCTGTTCCATTCGTGTTTCTACCGTGAAACAGTTGTGTTTACATAGCTGTGTTTCGGTTTGAAGGGTGGGATATGGCAGTGAATTTACAGGATATAGTGGAATAACACCTGAGTTCTCAGGATTGGTAACTCATGGGGGTATCGTGGGTGAAACAGTATACTCTATTATGTCCACGGTACTGCTCGTGTCTATAGGCGACGGTTACCACTTTCGTTCGGTTGATCGTCAGCTTGTTTGCCATTGTAAGTTGCGTAAAAAAAAGATCGATATTTCATTATATACCTGGGCTTAAATCGTATAAGTGACTTTAGGGATGACTTGTTTAATATTCGAATATGTCGTCAAAGGGCGTTCATAATGGTAAATAATTCTTAAACTAATGAAATAAATCTAAATAATTCATTTCTGACTCTACAAACTTACACTTGTATATAAATATTTATCTATCTATCTATCCATTTAAGAGCTGCGCTCTTGTCGGTGGAGCTCCTGCCACTCACTACGATTTTCAGCGAGTCTCTTCACCTCTTGATACGACACGACACGACACCAACTCCTTCCTCCTTATAAACATAATATAATAAAATAGAATAGTAGGAATTTAATAAATATATGTGTTAATATAACAATATTGTAGCAAGAGAATATTTGCAGCTATCGTCAGGCGAGTATATCCAAATGTCAGGTCGCGCCGGCCGGCGAGGTCTTGACGATAAGGGTATTGTGATCCTGATGATCGACCAGAAGGTGACACCCACTGTCGTCAAAGACATGGTCCAAGGCAAGGCGGACCCCATCAATTCTGCCTTTCACCTTACATATAACATGGTGAGTGGGTGTATCGTGTTCGTAGTGAATAAATGTAACAAAATAAATAAATAAATAAAACACAGAGACCAAATAAGTAATTTTCATGGCTTCATCCACTATGTATGTGCTAAAAAACATATTCGACCTCATAAACGAATTTGTATATTTTTTCACTTTTTTTATACTATTTTAAATACCTTTTTAAATGTGTATTAAACATACATTTTATTTAAATAAAGGTTTCACATTGATTTCCTTTATTTTGTTAACAAAATATTCCCTAGGTCCTGAATCTGTTACGAGTGGAAGAAATCAACCCAGAGTACATGCTGGAAAGAAGTTTCTTCCAGTTTCAAAATCAAGCTGCAATTCCTGATCTGATAGACAGTAAGTCCAAAATATATGTGACTGTTTATTATGAAGCTAAATATTAAAGTTTTTGTATAAGAACCTTATTAATATAAATTGTTTATAGACTAATAACTTCCCCATTGCAAAAATATATTGCTTTCTTGCAAGTGAATTTATATGATCTAGGTTTTATATATTTGTATATTTTTTTAATCTCTCCATAATTTTTTTAATGGAAGATAAGGGAATGAACGCCGTGTGGTCCCGGCGTAGAATAGGCCACCCCTTGCGTTCCCGTGGGTGTCGTAAGAGGTGACTAAGGGAGGGCGATGGATTGGCTGCAGCGTCCCTCTTAAAACATCTCTGAAGCCTAACTGGAGTTGTGAATAGGTCTGCCAAATGTAGCAACAACTCTCCCTTATGTTCAGCAGTGGACAGTGGCTGATAGGATGATGATGATGGATGTACCCCTGCCTGCGCTAACGGTACACGCTGGCGGAGCACCAGTGAGGAATAATAGGTGAGAATGAAAAGTTTAGAATTCAGCACGATGGACGTCAGGAGGGACCACGTGTAAGTCGATCTGACAGGATATATAAACTTACTATGGGACTGGTAATCTGCATTACTAATAATCCTCCCTCCCTCGCCTGGTTGTATTTCAAAGATTTGATAGTTTTGGTGTACTTATTAAAAATTATTGTTGTCGTTTTAAAGAGGTGAAAACTAAGGAAAAGGAGTACAAAGCGTTGACGGTAGACCAAGAGCACTCGATAGCAGCCTACTGCAGCATCAGGTCACAGCTTGATCTACTCGGCGCGCAGTTCCGGTCGTTCATTACTCGGCCTGAGTATTTGAAACCTTTCCTGCAGCCAGGACGACTGGTTAAGGTAGTTACATAATAGTTAACAGTAAATAGAAATAATACCTGTTGTATTAAATGGAATGTTTTACTAAGGCTATAGTTACTAATAGAATTACTGGAGACTTATTTTGTGAAAAGGTTAATCTGAGCCTTATTAGAAAAGTAATAAAGATTGTTTAGTCTAATATGTGTAATTGGACTAAAGTATATTTGGGACTTATTCCACATGAGTTAAGAGATACAGACTGTATATTTAGTAATATTTACCTGTAGGTTAAAACAGAAAAGTACGAGTACGATTGGGGCATCATAGTGAACTTCAGGCATCGAACACAAAAGGGCAAGAGGGGCCAGGAAGAAAACCCCCTGACAGCCGAGGCGGTTATCGTCGTCGACATATTGCTGCACGTCAAGAAGGCCGACGAGAACGATCCGGATACCAACATGCCCTGTCCTCCGGGAGAGGTAAACCAATATTAAAATAATAATATATCCATGTAGGCCCCTAACAAGTTTATTCAGTTTTTTTATATGTAAAATTAGGAATCTAGCCGTGTATATAAACACATTCACATGCGTATACGCACAAACACACATACGCACACACGCATGCACGCAAGCACGCATGCACGCATGCATACATGCGCGCTCTCACGCAATTTTTTTTATTAGTTTATAAAGTAATTTTGGTGACAGTCAAAACTATGATGTTTGACGAGAGATTTATGCCTAGTGAGTGGAGGTATTACATACTTATATCTAAATATTGTACAAAGTTGTTAGCTATATTATATATATGTATGCTAAACAGGCTGGAAACATAGAAGTGGTACCAGTTCTTCATACCCTGATCTACCAGATCAGCTCACTTCGCGTCCACTATCCAAAGGACCTGCGACCCTCTGACAGCCGGAAGTCCGTTCTGAAGACTATTGGGGAGGTCAAAAAGCGCTTCCCTGAGGGGCCACCTCTTTTGAACCCGATAAAGGACATGAAGATTGAAGACAAGGTGTTCAAAGAGTGTGTTGATAGGATTAAACAACTAGAGGAAAGGTGAATTTTAATTTTATTTAATGAACCTGTTAACTCAATTCACAAAATATATATATATATATATATATATATATATATATATATATATATATATATATATATATATATAATGAACTTACTATGTTTGGCGTTTGCAATAATTGTTTTTGACTTCATCCAGATGTTTTCGAGAGCATATTTATCTAATTTCCATATAAGTGTAGTTTTGAATTGACTTGATGTTTTAAAAAGTAGGCTATATTTGGATTATGGCTTTTTTTTTAAATATCTCTTGTGACAACCCTCAGATATTTGTCGGCATATCAAAAGAGCTTTCCTACTGGCTATTCTGTGTCAAGACTACGAAGTTGTATTGTGCTTCAGTTACCTGCTTAATTCTTTTGTATAAATTTATTTTATATCAAATATGTAAATCGAATATATTCCTGTACAATAGTTTGGGTTTTGTTTTGTCCCAAAACAGTGTTAACAGTACAAAAAGATAAACATGATGCAAGTCCACATCAAAATAAAAATTTTCAGAATTTTTACTAGTTATATATTAAAGGAAATCTTTGACAAAAGTCTGCTTGATTACCTGGTAAACGATTATTTGGCAGTTTATTATATTATTTGTATACTAATGTGCATATAATGTTAAAAAATCTCATTTCGATAATTTTAATTCTATAATTTTAGACTGTATGCACATCCTCTACACAATGACAAGAACCGCGGTGCTCTCACCGCTGCGTACGATAAGAAACAGGAACTGTACGAAGAACTGAACCAAGCGAAGGCGGAGTTGAAGAAAGCGAAGAGCATATTGCACATGGACGAGCTGAAGAAACGCAAGCGAGTGTTGCGGCGGCTCGGGTACTGCACGGCCGCTGACGTCATAGAGATGAAGGGACGCATCGCTTGTGAACTAAGCAGGTAATAATAAATTTTTTAAATATTATGTTGCAGTTCTGTTTGGTAACGTGACAGAGGAAGAATACAATGTGTCATTACTTCTTTTCATCTTTAGATTAAGTGTGTAAAGAACAAAGCACCAGTCCACGGTGCCGTTAACGGTATACGCTGGCGGGGCACCAATGAGGGATAATAGGTGAGAATGAAAAGGCAGCTCAGTTAGCCCATCGTGATAAATATATATGCCTGGATTTCAGCACGATGGTGTCCAGGGGGGGATCACTTAGAGGTCGACCTGACAATATGTTGCTAGCAATGGGAATAAACAAAACGAGAAGCTTGTTTTTTTTTTTATATAAGTATGGTGATACTCATGTATGTTTTTTTTTTTTATTCAACTTAGAATGGCAAATAAGCTGACGGCCCACCTGATGGAAAGTGGTAACCGTCGCCTATAGACATGAGCAGTACTATGGACATAATAGAGTATACTGTTTTGTCCACGTTTCCCCCTATGCATTGTCATTCCTGAGGACTCAGATCTTATTCCTCTGTACCCTATAAATTCGCGCCATATCTCACCCTTCAAACCGAAACAGCCATGCAAACAACTGCTTTACGGTTGAAACACGAATGGAATAGAGGTACCCAAGCAAACGATTTTTGTACAAAGTCTTCCTCATGTATGTAAATGTAACATTGGTGTAGTGCGGATGAGCTGCTATTAACCGAGCTGATCTTCAACGGAGTGTTCAACACGCTGACGGCGCAGCAGAGCGCGGCGCTGGTGAGCTGCTTCGTGTGTGATGAGAACTCCTCGCAATCCTCTGCTAGCGGAGAGGAACTTCGGGGTGTGTTGCGCCAGCTACAGGTATACCAGCATGACATCTACCTACCACCGAGTGTGTGCGTGTGCGTGTACGTGTACGTGTCCATGTCTGTGTCCGTGTGCGTGTGCGTGTGCGTGTGCGTGTGGGTGTGGGTGTGCGTGTGCGTGTGGGTGTGCGTGTCCGTGTCCGTATGCGTGTGCGTGTGTGTGTGTGTGTGTGTGTTAAAATATTTGATATCTGTTAGGACATTGTAACTCTCTCTATGGAGTGGATTCATAATTAATGAGTCAACTGATCACTGAGCATTTTTTTACTTTTGTTCTGCAAAATGACAAAGTATTGTTTTAGTTATTAAGTTATGGTAGTGGTTTCGGCTTAGTAAAAGTGAAATGTAGGATATAATTGTCATGTTATTTTAATAACCATTATTAAATGGGTGTCTAATAAAGAAGGAATCCCATTTTTTAGTAGAAAGTATGGAACCTCGGCCGCTTCCATTTTTGTTTTAATCATACATTGCTTTTTGGAATATGAAATAAATATTCCATAAATTATTTCGTGATTGAAAGGGGTTACTTAAGAAAACTGAAATGTTCTACAAACCTATTTTAACTTTTGTGTAAAAGGACAACCACTTCAACACTTAAAATTTGGGTGTAGGTTTAACGTTATTATAAGAGGAATCATTTAGATATGGTTTATTAGATGTTTGCAGAACATTTTTTAAAAAATGCCTAATCAGTAATTGGAATTCTTCTTATTCACTATTTAGGAGTACGCCCGTCGTATAGCAAAAGTGTCGATCGATGCCAGGATGGACCTCGACGAGGACGAGTACGTGAGCAAGTTCAAGTGCACGCTGATGGACGTTGTGCTCGCGTGGGCCAAGGGCGCCACCTTCTTGCAGATCTGCAAGATGACCGACGTCTTCGAAGGTACTATAAATTTGTTTCCTACTTAAGGGGACTTTTTTCAACCGACTTAAAAAAAGGTAGGAGGTTCTCAGTTTCATTATATTTTTTTATATTACCTCAGAACACCGTCATTTATGAACTAATGTGGATTTTTTTTTTTATCTGAAAGGATGTATTTAGATTGATCCTATAGAAATAAATATTATCTAAATATTTCAGTATTTTCAGTTTTTAAATCAAAATAATTGGTTTTACCATGATTGAACTTGGTGATTTGTTGTATATAAAATTTCCTATTTTTTTTTATTTAGATTCCTTCTCTCCGTAGTCTCAGAGGTTACGTATGATCCTATAACATGTGTATGGTTTCATTGTATTCAGTCATATTAATGAAGTTTGAACCAATAGAATTACATGGTTTCACTTCACAACTGAATGTTACCTAATTATTGTTTCTAGGTTCTATAATCAGATGCATGCGGCGTCTGGAAGAAGTGCTGAGGCAGCTGTGTCAAGCAGCCAAGAACATCGGCAACACAGATCTCGAAAATAAGTTTAGTGAAGCGATCAAACTACTCAAGCGTGACATAGTGTTCGCCGCCAGTCTTTATATGTAACAAAACTAATGTATTCTTTTAAATACATACATTTTATTTACATATATCTTTTATTTTTTATGATTTAATAACCTTCATGACGCAGTGGAAGGCACATTAAATATTTCTACTATTTATAATTCTAAAATTAATAAAAAATAGTAGAAAGAATTTTCAAATGAAACAATTGATCACAATGTTATAAGAGAACTTTATTGTTGTAATTACGGTATATATATACCAGAGAGAGACTTTGTACAAAAGTCGATTGCTTGGGTACCTCTGTCCCATTCGTGTTTCAACCGTGAAGCAGTTGTGTTTGCATGACTGTGTTTCGATTTGAAGGGTGGGATATAGCCTGAATTTACTGGGTACAGAGGAATTATACCTGAGTCCTCAGGAATGGCAACGCATGGGGGGTATCATGGATGAAACAGTATACTCTGTTATGTCCATGGTACTGCTCATGTCTATAGGCGACGGTTACCACTTTCCATCAGGTGGGCCGTCAGCTTGTTTGCCATTGTAAGTAGTATAAAAAAAATTAACTGGCAAGTAACGAAAGGAAACAGTATTTCACTAATGTCACTAGAGAACCATATCCACAGAGCAGGCCGTGTCCGATACCGGCTATTATCATTATTATCAAATAATACATGGAAAATTTGGTTTCAATATAATTTAAAATTTTTACAATGTAAGCACAATATAAATAACTAATTTATTTATACTTTACACATTAAATTACTCTACAGGGCAGATTAAAAACATTTCATACAGTAGTTTTACAAAGTAGGTTTACATATGGTAACATTTGAGGGGGGCGAAGGCGGGGAGATACCGAGCTGCCGTATATTCGTACGGTAGCAGCAAAATGTTAACATATGCATCAATACTTTTGAATTTTATTATTTAACTAAATTTATTTTGAACAGTTTTGGTGACCGCATTTAGTTTTGTTCTAAGTGTCGTTTTTGATTCATTTAGGTTTGCTGATCTAATAATTTATGATATACGGGAAAGGAAATTGTTAGTAATGGAGTGTAACTGCCTCATTGTTAGCAATACACCCTACCAGATGGACCTCCACGTGCTTCCCCCTAAAGATCATTGTGGTTAATTCTATGGAATTCGATACGATAAGCTCGCTATCCTGCTTTTATCGTCACCTTATATACCTTAATGGTGCCCTGCCCGCGTATACTGATAGCTTAAGCAGGGTTACTATTTCATTATCACCTATAAAAAAAATTAGGATATTGATTTTGACAAAAGTAAATGGTAGATGTCAATATTTTTAATTTATAGAAAGTTTTGGGTAATTTTATGCAAATTTGTTCAAGCTTTGTCAAGTTGTTATCCCATTTATTTTCAGCCAATTTCAATAAAAGAAATTTTAAATTACTCGGCGTAACTGGACTATATTGGATCAAAGTGGCTAAGGGAGCGGTCAACTATTATGTAACGCTGTGGATTATTTTTAAAATTCAATTAAAAATAGAATCTTAAATAAAATTTCGAATTTATTGGTGGTATAGGATTACTTGTATTTTGTAAATTTAATATTAATATATAAAATAAAAAAAAACACAAGTAACTTATTGGTGTAAGATTAAGCACACCTTCACAAGAATGTCAGGAATTTTGGAAATGTTCCGAAGCTTTTTAGAGGACTTTCGTATTTGGTACGTGTATAGTTAAAATTACCTATACATATCTATGGTAAGAGTACCATAACCATAGATTAAGAATAATACCTGTAGTACTTATTAATAGGGTTGCATCCATGATCATGAAAAATAAAAAAAATCATGGTACAATTGGGAAAATTCTGGTCTGCGACAGTTTAAACGTTGTTGTTGAAATGACATTTCTCTATAAATCTATGTTACCAAACTATAAAAAGAAAATTCCATCATGGCGGATCATGGTCATCTTGAATAAGTGCAAAAACAGCGCTTTACTTATAAATATATATTTGTTAAATATTAAAATAACTAATATATGTTTGAATATATTACGTAGTAATAAATAAAAATTTAAATAAATTGAACACGCCTAAACACAATGTGATATAATACAAAGAATAAACGACGGTTCTAGCTCAATTTTCAATAGATTTGAACTAGTGAGCAATAATAGTTATAATTATCATATTTAAATATAGTTATAGTTTGCATGTATTATCTAATTAATGTATACGTTCATATAATAGCGGAGCTAATTGCTATATTATAAATTTTACTGAACTTGTAAAATTGATTAAAATACATTAGTGTTGTTATTACCATAGGAATAACAACACTAATGTATCCTATTTATCCATATGAACTGAAACTAAGTTATAAGTAATGATATATGAAAAATTCATAAACTATATTTATAGTATGCGGTTTCCTATTAAAATGATACTTTTTCAAACAGAATTAATTTTATCTGTATTATACGTACTTGTAATAATGTTATAACTACAAATAGGGAAAATTTTTATATGTATATAGATTCTTTAGAATTTAATACGTATTTTTAGACACTATTTGACTTGGCACAATACTTTGAATGATTGTTTAGTATGCCAAAGAGAATTTGCATTACTCACATGACAAAAAATTTGATTATTCTCTTAATATTTCTAAAAGCACTGGTATCCTTGATGTTGACATCTAAAGTTCCGTGGTTACTTCGAAGATAAGTTTAAGCTGGAGTTCAAAAAACTCGTTGTGCTCAATAGAGCGAAGTGAAGCGAAAATTACAAATTTGGCCCTACATATAGTATTGCTGTCACTAATAGGAGGGAGCATCTAAATACCATGCTTGAACTCTTTCACTCAGTGCAACAACCAGCTATGAGACTTGATGATGATCCCAGGCTTACAAACAGTATCGAATATCGAATTTAGTCTCAGGAGAGATGTTCTGTGTATACGACGGAATGTGCTTAGGGGAATTATTCAATATGATGCTCACGGCCACTTTTTATCATCGTATAGTTTACCATCAGTAGAGAGTTTACTCCCATACCTTAAAGACTGGGTGGTCAAGAAACAGTTACAGAGATGTTTTCTCCTGTGTACGTAGGAATGTTCGCTCAGGTTATGGAATGCCTCCCTGTCGGGGTTTTTCCGAGAGACTAGAATATGGGGTTCTTCAAAAAACGGGTAAAGAGGTTTTTTCATGGTTGGTTACACGTACATAATGCCCCTGATATTGCAGGCGTTCATAGGCTACGCTAACTGAATATTATTAAGTGGGCCGTCTGTTTGCTACCTCAGTGGTATAAAAAATTGTAGTAGAGTAAAATTTAGTAACTAGGTACTTGTTTTATTATCCATTTTTTCCGTAAATTTTTCTATTAGGGAATAGCAAGATTTTTTATGGTAGATGTCGATATCGATATGTTGAATATCGACGTATATAGATAGTAATACAACACTATGGATATTAACTTCTTTTTTTTATAATTTTGATTGTGTTGTTACTTCGAAAAGGTAACATGTATTTTTATTTCAGGTTCCGTTAATATACGGCCGATGCCATTCTTATAGCTTTAGTAATTACTTACACTGTGAAATGAAATTTACTGTGTTGTTTCATTTTATGGTTATTTATTTCCATGATGAAAATATTTTAGAAAATGGCTGATATTAATAGTTTATTTGATTGTTTTGAAGAGCCGGTACAGAATGAAGGTTCTGTTCATTTTCCGAATATTCAAAACTGCAAGGATAAATTGTAAGATTTTATATAACCTTAACGTGCTGTTTTTTCAGCAACGAAATATTATTGCATGGCTTATCTATCGAATATACTCATTTATATGATGCTTGTTAACATTATCCTTAGTTCTTTATAGTATATAAATATACATAATTTAGTATTTACTATTTTACTGGTCATATTGGCAGTGGATGATAGGTTATTTAATTAATTTTATAAATTCTAGAGATTCCTCATCTTCAGCGAATAAACGGTCACACGAAGAGGTGGAATATGTAGATACATCACAGGCAAAAATACCCAAGCATGAAGAGGATACATTAGAACTGATTAGTGACATTAAGTAAGAGATTATTATTGTATTAATAATTAATTTTATATATATTGTATTAAAACAGCCAAAAAGGGAGTGATTAGTGAGGCAATCGTAAAAGGAGATGAATGGAAGAAGAAAACATATTTTGCTAACTCTAAATAGATGTGGCAATAGGGCAGGAAGAAGAGGACACGAAAGGAAGTCACAAATATGTATAAATAAGTACTTATTTATCAGTTATGTCATTATCGAAGAAGTTAGTCATTGGTGAAGGACATTGATGACTGACCATTTCGGCATGGCATTTAGAGACACCAATTTATTTAAGAGTTGAGAACATTTGCAGGTTTTTTAATTCTGCAATTTAATGTACATGTAAAGGAAACTAATAAATATAAGAACTATTGATTAGAAAGTTTGTAATATAACAATCAATATTTAATTATGTTATTAATCATTATCCTTCATAGATTAAAAATAAATAGCTGTCTGTCTCTATGTCTTCAAATTATGAACTAGAAAAGAAATTAATTTGTCTTTAAAAAAAAAAAAAAAAAAAATATATATATATATATAGAATTATATATTTTGAAGTGCATAAAACAAGGTATTGGAGGTCCTCAGTTTAATTGTAATTTTTTGTATGTGTGTGTAAATTATGATTTAGTGCTTTAATGCTAAAATTATTGTCATATGTAATGTATATGCAAATTATATGGAATGACAAAGTGTAATGTACATTTATAAAAATAATGTAAAATATTAACTAATTTTAAGCAGGAGTTTGATAATTTATTTATAATATTGTGTTTTAGCTTGGAACTACTCAGTTCTCAAATAGTTATACACGCTTTAGAGACAAATGAAGGCTGTACACATGAAGTGGCCATACCTCCTAACTATGAATATGCACCACTTACACCCCTTACATCTGAACCTGCCAAGCAGTATAGTTTCGTATTGGATCCATTTCAGAAGGAAGCCATATTATGCATAGACAATTTGCAATCTGTATTAGTTTCTGCTCA